GCCCCGCTTTCCCCTAGCATACCCCAGCAACCCCAGGCTGCCAGCGCGGCGCGGGAGGTGTTTGACTGGAACGAAGGATGGCGCGAGCGCCGCTCGCGTCGCCACCACGAGACCAGTCGTTGCCCTTGCGGCGGCCACTGGACAGAATGGACAGAGTGGTCCAGCTCGGGGACCGACGACCGCTGGAGCCGGCCCACGCTCCCGACGACTTCCCCGCTCCCCGGTCAGGCCCCTGGCCATCCTTCAGGAGTGCCCAAGGCGACTACTCACAAAACCTGTGCGACCCAGAGACAGGACTCCGACCTCCTGAACCCCATTGGCGAGGCTCCTGCCGAAACCGTGAAACGACTCCAGAGGGACCTGAGTGATTATTTCAATGGAGTATGGCATCAATGGGCGACCAAGAATCACGCCGTCGGGCCGCCCTTGCGCCGACCCTACGCGCCAGCACCCCGAGTCCTGCGCACGCTTCCTCAAGGAATGGCTCAGTCACAAATGTGACGTCTTCAAGATGGACGCTGCGCCCCACCTCGGGGTCAACCGGGGTGCAGCCCGCGCACGGTTCAACGACAGAGCTAGGAACGCGGGCACCCCTAGCAAGGCCAAAGGCAAGGGGCCGCGCGAAGACAGCGTCACCCATTGGACAAGAACGGCGGAACCCAGAAGGGCAGCGGGCTCGCGCCAGCCCTGGGCGCACGCCTAAGTCCCGCGCAGGCCGCTCAGGCAGGCGCGCGCAACGGCACTCGTGGACGCCGGTCACTGTGCCTCAGTGTGCCTTTCGGAGCCTCACCGCTCCTGGCCACGGGCTGGTCGGCTCCTCCTGCGCACCGCCCTGAGTGCGCGAATGCCACCCTGGACGTGCCCAGCTGGGGCTGACGGCCTGTCCCAGGCCTTAGAGCCCTTTCCGGGACGCCACTTTGCGGCTTCTCTCCCCCCCGGGATGATTGCCGCCCCCCCGGCGCGCTTTCGGCGGCTCGGAGATTGGGCCCTTCCAACTGGGCCACGGTTACTTCTAGAGCCCCCGCGGCACCTCTTCGCAGCCCCGTGCTGCCCCGCACACCTGCGCCTGGCCCTCGCTGGCCATTCGGCCTGTCGGCCTGCCCCCTTCCGTCTCCCGCTTGGCTGCCTCGCCTTTCTGTTCACATTCGCCGCGGCTGTTAGCCGCCCCCCCCCCCCTCGCCCCTCGCACCTTCCTCGTCGCCCCTCCTCTGAGGCTCTTTCCACCGCGTCTCTACTGCTCTGCGGGCGTTAGCTGCAGGCGCCACTCACCGCGCCCTTGGTGCCCCCCCCGGGGCGCTAGGGCCTGCGCGCCGCGGTCTCATCGTGCACCCCCGCCCCCCGTCTGCGGCCCCCCCGCACGCGGTGCTCAGGCCCGCGCGTCTTCTCACTAACTCCGCGGCTGTCATCCGCGACCCCCCTCTCCAGTTGGGCTGCCCTCGCCGCGTGCACCAGGGGCGCTTACTCACACGCGACTGACTCGACGCACGCGCCGGCGCTCCCCCGGGGGCGTCGAGGCACGCTGACAATAGTCACCCCAGTTCGCTTGTCCCGGCGCCTCCCGCGGCCATCCCCCCACCGGAGGCTCACGGCCCGCCCTCAACGCACTTTCTCCGCGGTTGTTAGCTGCGACCCCACTCGCAATATCGCGCCCATGTCTCCGCGGCCGTTAGCTGCGACCCCACCCGCTGCGTTACAACCATTTCTCTGCGGCCGTTAGTCGCGACCCCGTCCACAGCACGCCCCTGGCCATCAGTGCCCCCCCGGGGCGCGCGGGCCAGTGGGTCCATCGTTCTACGTCGGCTGTCCCGCGGCGCCCCCTGTTGGGCTGGCAGCTGTCGATATTCTCCGGTCGGCTCACGGCAGAAGCCCACGTGCCCCTCGCTGGCCAAGTCTCCCTCGACGATTCGATCTTGCGAATTGGGATACCGGGACGCAGGGTCCTCGACGCTTTCCAGTCCGCGCGTCCACACGGTGGGCTTGCGCCGGCTGGCTTACTGCATCTTGATTGGCGCCGGGCTCGCAGTCCTCACGCTGGCATACGCGTCGGCGAAGATGTGGCGGGCTTTCCGAGGATGTCGCGTTCACTGGCGCGCTCGGGTCGTGATCTTCGGCTTCTGAGCTGTGCCGCGTTAGTCGCCTGTCCTTCTTCGTTGCCCGTCCGCCGCTCGCGTTCGGTTTCGGCCCCGCCCTGTAGTTTAAGCATCCGCCCTGTTCCACGTAGGCCCGCTTGTCGTTCGAACTATTGACGCCGCGTTGTTGTCCGCCAGCGGTTGCGAACAAATTATCCTGGCAAAGCAACCTAACAGCGATGTGAAGGAGCATATCTGGAAGCATTCCCCTTAAGATTCAGATGAGAATCCGGTTGTAGAATTCTGCTGTTCTCGCAGTCGTAGTCCAACTCGCGATGACAGTGGCAGCGGCAACGGCAGTCGCAGTCACAGCCTCAGCCACGGCCTGCTTCAGCCTCAGCCTCAGCCTGCCTCAGCCTCAGCCTGCCTCG